TATATATATATATATATATATATATATACGTTTCTTCGTGCGAGAATCACTGTGAGAATCAGCTAGAGAACATTTTACTCGTGAATATCCGGATAATAGTTTGATATTTTCTCTTTGTTGGCGCGCTCTACTTTTTCCCCCTTCTATTCTTTGGTAATATATAATGTATAAAGATCGATTATTCCCAGTTTTCTTGGGTCTCTGCCTTTCCCATCCATTATTCCTTGCATATCTTTCCTTCGCATATCGCCGTTCTTTTTCCCCCTGGTTAGATGAATAGAATTTTTCCGCATTTACATTTACTTATTTCCCTGTTTGTCTACCGAAAGAAAAGAAAAAGAAAAAGAATAAAAATTGGAAAATTCAGCCCTGAATTGTAAACGTGGTATTATGCTCGCATTTTGCTCGACCCTCGAATAACGCGCCGACAGATGGAATACGCCGTAATACAGTAAGTTCGTGGAACGAAGAGGCTCGTAGTTGACCGAGAGCAAACACGAAATGGACGTACTCAGACATTAGAAGGAAAGCGTAAAAAAGAAAAAAAAAAAAAAAAAGGGGGAAAAGGGAAAAAAGGATCGGACAATGGACGATGGAAAAGGATATCGTTCATGGATTCTATCTACGAATTAAAACAGACCGGTAGACGCGTGAACGGTACAATGAAAATTGGCTAATTGAATTAGCAGACAGCTGAGAGCGACCTGAATAGACAGAGGCTTCCATAACGCGAACCGTCAGGTTTTAGGATGGGTTCCATTAAAAGGAAGAGTGCACCGGTGAAAGAACCGGATCCGAATTATCCAATTAAAATCACCTGTTAATTGCACGAATATCGAGGAATCACAATAGCCCCGTGACGCATTCCGGCAAACTCTATCATTCTTGTCTACCGTTCGTGAAAAATAGATACTTTTACTCGCTTATTACTTAATTATTTTTCCGTTAAAATAATCGAATACTTAAAAATTCGCTCGACGAGTCTTCATTCTCATCGAACAAAAAGAAAACAGGAAAGATAATCCTATCCTCGAAATAAATATATTTATCGATATATATAAAAGTACGACGATGATAAAATTAATTGCAAACGACGAGAAGGAAGAGTTCTTAAAAACTCGTCGTCGATAAAGAAAATTGGACATAAAAACATGCTCCTTTCTCTCTCTCTTCCCTCCCCTTCCCTCCTTGCTGCGCATCTCCTTGCTGGGGAAAAAGAAAATCACCAAAGGACTCAAGCTATTAATCCATGATCCAAGTAAATGGCACGAGGCATGGAAATCCACGAAAACAAAGAATTGACAAGAAACCACGATATCGTATCATTCGCATCACATATGCGACATAATTTCATTCGATATTCCGGAATCGAACTTTATCAAGGAATCAGCCCAAGTGAGACGTCCTTTCGATTACATCTCGCGAATTTAATTAATGCCAGTGGCCACTCGAAACAAGATAGCTCGCAATCGGGTT